CTTATTTCAGATCTATATTAATTTGATGGTTTTTTATTCTAATTTCAGAACTGTATGATATATTGAATAAGGCAATGATTAATAAAATTTTAAATAAAATTTTTAAATTTTTAAACAAAAAAAAATTTGGTGGCTCATATTAGAATTGAATAAATTTTAATGCAATGCTTAATTTTGATCTTGATACTTGAAATTCCAAATAATATAGTAATATTGAATTAATTTGATTTTTAGAAAACATATAATTCTATAGTTATAATATAATAAAAATCTATTATTTTATATCATTTTGTTTTTTTTTTTTTCTTGGAGATAGATGGACGTCAAATATTGTATCAAAAGCTGATTGTTTTAATTTCACTTGTATTTTTTACCTCATTACATTACTTTGATTATCTAAGGAATTATTGATAACTTTTATCATTTAAAGAACTAGTAGCTAAAGTAGAGATTAACTTCAAGCACCTTTTCAAGAGAAGTAAGAATTATACAAGAGATACTTACTTTAGAATATATTATTTTAACTAATATATCTAGAGCCTTACCAAAGTTATTATATAAGCATAGATCTCAAGTAGACTTCCTCTTGTATATCAATACACATATGCTAAAAAGTTTAAATTTATTCTAATTAAACTAAAGGTTAAAACAGATTAATTTTTAACCAGTTAATTTATCAGTTAAAATGGTTAATATATTAATTGGTTAAAAATCTTTTTAATAGGTTAAAATTGATGAATTTAAATTTGACAGAAATTCAATATCTTAACAGAATTAAGATTTTTATAATTGATAAAATATTGTTTAATTCTGGTCAAATTTATAATACTGGCCAAGTTAATTTTAACCAATTAATTAACCAGTTAAAGAACTTTCAGCCAGTTCCAATCTCTAATCAATACTATACTATTTTAAAAAAATAATACATCCATTAAAAATTTAGGAGTTTCTTAATAAGAAATTTCAAGAAATACTAATCTTAATGTATAAAGCTGATCATATTCATCTTTCTCATCTTTTCTTTTACAAAATTGACTTTACTGGTAAGATGTATGAAAATATCTTTTAAGATTCTTGATAAGCTTAGCTTAGATTCCTTCATAAGATTTGTATTGTATACATTCTCCCACTTTACTTCTGCTTTTAATGCAATTCAATCAGTTAATATGGACCTAATTGTTCTTATGTATACATCTCTTTTCTTTCTAATTGCTGTTCATTATATTAGTCTAATATTCAGCAAAGCTCTATACCAGTTCTTTCTTTTAGAACAGGCTAATTTAGCCTTTTCATCTTTAGTTTTTTTTAAAAAAAAGTTAAATAATCAATTATATTATCAAAAAATTATATTTTACTTATCTAATAATATAAGTGGCTGATGTATCAGAAAAAGCAATATCAGTTATTCAAATATTAATATAATTTCAGACTTCTGATATATCAAGAGTAAGTGGATTAGGTTGTATTTTATAAAATGTAACCCGTATAATACTTGTAAATTATTATTCATGTGTGCTTAATAATGGTCTGATGTGACATACAGTACTACATTAGAATGTTATTAAGTGCACCTGAATAATAACAATGTTATTATTCAGATCACTTGATCAGCATGTAATTAAATTAAACTTTTTTAAAAACCACACATTTTTTAATTTCTATTATTTTTCTTTTTTTTTACATTTTTTTCAAAGAAAATTACTTAAGAAAAAAGTTGAAAACTGTATTTTTATATAGTTTTCTTTTCTTAAAATAGGATTTTAACCTCCTAAATAATGCCAAATGAAAGTAAAAAAACATCAAATGTAATATTAAAAATAAAAATTATTATTGTTGAAATGTACTTATGAATTATTAAATAATACATCTCTATAAATATATTTTGTTTAATGGATCAATAAGTCTAATAACATTGAATTTTTCAAATAATTTGAACAAGTAAAAAGTACAACTAGTGTTACAAAAAATTGGATCAATAGATTGGAAGAATTTAGAAAGGAAAAGATTGCAGAAGAGAAAATTGAACAAATAAATTCAATATAAGAACTTGATAATTAACTTGCAACTTATATTGTAAAAATGAAACAAAAAAATGGATAATAATATTCTGCAAGTTCTGTTCGCTATGCAATTGCTACTATATATTGAGATCTTATTAAACATTCTGTAATATCTGGAATAAACATTTATGATCAAGCAACATTTTCAACACTTGGAAAGTTCTTAATGGAAAATTGAAGTTTCTTTCTGATTTAGGACTTAATGATGCAAAGGGTATTGATTCATTATTTATAAATGAAATTTTAACAATTTTTAATCATAAAATATTGGATGGTATTACATCAAAATGATTATTATATTGAATTTACTTTTATAATTTACTTTTATTAGGTATTTAAGGTAAAAAGCATTTTGCACTTCTTTTGAAAGATTTTAAAAAAAGAAAAGATGGTGGATTTACAGTATATATTTATCACAATAAAACTAATCAAAGAGATGCATTTGGAAATAGAGGAAAGGCAGACAAAGTACTTATATCTTACAATGAAGAAATTATTTAATATTATAATAAATATATTTTATTGTGTCCAAAAAATGTAGATTTAGAATTTTATTTACAAGAAATGGAAGATGGAGATAGTAAATAATGATTTTTATTATTAAGTTTTTAATTTTTTTAAAAAACTAACTAATCTGTAATTTAAGCTTTTTCATCTAATGTATGATTTAAAAAATATCATATTGGTCTTAATCATCTTAAATTGCTTATAAGAACTATTTGTATCAATGTGTGTCTTAATATTAAAAATAGAAAAATTGTTTCTCATACTAGTAGAAAAACTATGATACAGGCTTTGGAAAGTCTTAGTGAATCTACTCTTAATATTTGAAAATAATCACGTTATAGAAGTGATGAAAGTTTGTGTCCATATTTATCAACAGGTGAAAAAGATCAATTACATATGATGTAAAATTTAGCTGAAAAAATAACTGAAAGTAGCAAAAATCAAATACAATTTTTTTTACTTTATTATTTTATTATATTTTAAGTTGTTCAAACATTTTTATTTTCTTTTTTTATATTAGCACTTCAGGAAATAACAGCTAATTCTAGTAATAATATATTTAAATGGGTATTACAAGGTATACTTTAAATAATAATATTTGTAATTATTAACAATTTGTACTGTTATACTATTTTTTTTTTAGTGTATAAAAATTCGAAAAAAGAAAAGGAAGTTGAAACTTCTGAAAATGCTATAAAAAATTCAATTCAACTTACAATTTCTCAAGACCAATTTGCAAAAATTATTCAAAGCAGCGTATTAATAAATTCTGAATTAAATATTAAATTAGTATAATTTATATTTTATTTAGCATAATTATAAGTATGTACTTAAACTTATATTTAATATGACGATTATAGATGCCTACCGAAACCTCCTCAAAATAATTTTGTCATACCTTTTCTATGTTTTTAATATAGTTTTGACAGTTTCGGCTTTCGTCGTATCGAATGGGTTTCATCGTATCCCTTATTATGATTTTAATATAGTTTCGTCTAAGTTTCGACTGTTATTAAATGGTTTCGTCCCTCATCTATAATGACGATTTAATAAAATTATTAGCATGCTATATTGAGCACGTTGTATAAAATATTGGTACAGTATATACATGATGATCTTATAGAGCCGTGTAATAATTATACGTTATTCTATTGCAAGAGCTAAGTAATTAAATAAATCAACAAAACTTCCTTGTCACTTACCAATCAGCCACTGTTGTCCTTATATGATTATAAACAAAATCCACTTGTGGATTGAAGCTGGCTCTAAGTCGAGGATGTAAAGTGTTCAGTGCTTTTCTTAATTCTGTAGTAGAGGTCTAAATAGACATCTATTAGCTTACAAATTATAGCAAAATGAGCAAGTATACAAATCAAAGATATATTTACCTTGAAGAAGGTGTTTTTATATTCGAGAATTTCATCATTGATCTCTGGTAGATCTTGCCCGCTCTTCTTTTAAGTTATCTCTTTCATCTCTTTTTTTATAAATGCATTCTTAACGAAGGTATCCTCAGGATCAAGAACAAATTAGTGAGTTAGACTAAAAGCCAAAAATTTAATTAACTTAAGAAACAATAGAAGAAACAAACACATTGCATAACTCTTACTTATAATATCAGCACATCATTCCAAGTTGTTAAAGTATATCTTTGTAAAACTTAAAGAAATGGAGACTTAAGTCTAGAAGGTTTATCGAAGTATCAAATTTATGTTTAAATAATGATTAGTTTAATTGAATGGGTATGTAAAACTATATATATATTATATTTATTACCTTTGCATGAAAAGAATTTTATCTCTGGTTCCGAACTCATCATCATCATCTTCATCATGATTTAACTTAAAAAGCAATAATACAATATATATCAGAAGTGATCCTATATAAATTAAACTAAAGCAAATAAGAAAACATTACCGGCAAAGTTACCTCACTTGATTTATTGGATTCTAAAGAAGCATCCTATAATTTGGAAAGTATTATGCAATAGTTCAAATAAACTTTATGATATAATTTAACAAATTTGACTTACCGAAGAAAATAATTCAGGAGCTTGAACACTATCTTCTTCATAATATTCAGATCGGTTATGTTCTGGTGGAAAGATTTGGTGTTCAGGTGTTTGTGGATAATCCTGCTCGTGTTAAATTGCTTGGAGATGAAAGTTATTTATTTATATTAAGAATCCTGACCAGTCGAAAGTGTAATGAACATACACTAAGTGGAAATAAGTTTGCGCGATCAGTTTTCGTAATTTATATGAAATCGTACATAATAATCAATTGATTTAGTACCAATTGAAAGTTCTGCTACTTGTTTACATGTCCATTTGTTATTGTTACACGTATAAAATAAAAATAATTTAAAATTGGGACGTATACATGTATGTATCGTGATCTTTAATGTAAATTTGCAATCAACCAAAAAGCTAAGCATAAATACCGAATATAGCATTATTGAATGAGCACAAATAATCAGATTACATAAGGTCAGACATAGAAATGCTGATATTTGCAAAATTATGAATCGATCAGATTCTACAGTTAGGACAACAATTAAACGATATGGAAATTCAGATGACTTGACAAGCAAGTAAAGAAGTGGATAATAATGATTGTAAAATTTTAAAAAAAATTGTTAATAAAAACAATAAAGTTTCAGCTGATATGATACAAAAAAATTTATAGCATAAACCGGCCAAAATGTTTGTACTAAAACAATTCAAAAGAATTTGCATCAAATTGGATACAAAGTCATATCGAGCTGCAAAAAAAGTCACTTTTGAATGAAAATCAACGTCAAAAATGACTAGAATGGTGCTTGGAAAGACAAAATTGGACAGTGCAACAATGGAGAAATGTCATATGGAGTGATGAATCAAAGTTTACTCTTTTTCGTAATGATGGTCCTTGTCGGGTTTGCGTAAACCAGGCACCCGTTTTGATATCGAAAACCTAAATCCATCAGTTAAACATGGTAATGGTGGAGTCATGGTTTGGGAATGTTTTTCAGGCAAAGGATTGGGTCCTTTGGCAAGGATAAAAGGAACAAATAATGGTCATGATTATATAAAAATTTTAAATGATAACCTTTTGCCATTTGTGAATTCAAAGTTTCGCAATCGATCTTACAAATTTCAGCATGATAATGCACCCATTCACATAGCTAAAGAAGTTAAAGCATGAGTTGCTGAAAAAAAATTAAAATGTTAACTGATCAATCTCCGGATTTGAATCCTATTGAGAATCTTTGGGATCATCTTGACCGTTCGTTGCGTAACCGTTCAGATCTTCCTAAAAATCTTGCAGATTTAGAAATACAACTTAAAGAAGAATGGGAAAAAATTCACAAGAAACTTACCTAAAATTAATTGATAGTATGCCTCAAATAGTAGAAGCACGTATCGCTAATAATGGTTGGTCAACTAGATACTAATATTTTTTTAAAAAAAATGATAATAAACGATTTTTTTAAAAATCGCGCAAACTTATTTCCATCTAGTATACATTTATATCATCGACACTAAAATCTTCAGGAGTTTGAACACCATCTTCTTCATAATATTCAGATCGGTTATGTTCTGGTGGAAATATTTGGTGTCCAGGTGTTTGTGGATAATCCTGTTAGTGATAAATTGTTTGGAGTTGAAAGTTATTTATATTAAGGGACGTGACCTTCGAAAGTGTAATGACATACATTTACAAACTGATTTTTCCTCTATCAATCGTAAGCTATCACCATCAAGCGTATTTTTGATGGAAATCTATTATGATAACACATTAAACATTGTATAAGTTGTAGAACATATTTCCCAGAACAGGATCATTTTCCAGGAACAATCCTGACTGCGCTGGTTAATTATTTATGTAAATAATGTCTGCAGGTGTAGTTTCTTTTTGAACTCGAGCTTGACCTTTAGAAAAACATGGGTAATTGATTTTATTAGTTTATGAATATGTATGAAGAGCAGAAGGAAAATGGGACGCGCATGGTGGGACTAAGATTTCACCCATACTCTATCCGGGATTTACTCGTCAAGAGCCACCCTTCCATTTTAAAAAAAAATAATATTCACCTTTTCAATCACGTCTTTTCCCAAATCATTTATCTCTCGCAAAAATCGTTTACTCCAAGAGCTTTGCATTCCTTCCCAAGTTTTCGCGTACGGAGGGAATATTTTTATTTTTTCTTTGTTTTCGTTAAGGAACTGCAAGTAGGATATATTCTTCGGAAAAGTATTGGTTACATAGGTACGAAGAACTGTAAAGGTAGAATTAGTTAATACCTTCACGTAACTGAAGACTCATAAAGGAAAACAAAAAATTACCAGAATGTCCGAGAAATTTATCATCAGTCACATCGAGTTTCCTGACAGGAGCTGTAGACATAATGTTTGTTCTGATAGTGAATAAAAGAAAATTTTTTAAATAATTTTTTAACGAGAATTTAATGAATCGAGTTCAGCTTATTTGGTTTGGGGCAGATAATAGTATCTGTAATTCTTCTCTCCAATATTTAAAACTCCAAAATTTGTTATCGAGTTCGAGAACGGAAAGAAAACAAATCGTTCAAATAAATAAAATGCACACGACCAACACGTGAGTTTGGAGATATGGGAGTGTTTCTAGGAAAATCAGGTTCCGAGAAATTTTTGACTAAAATAAAGAGCTTAATACATTTTAATCTAATAACATCAAAAACTAAAATGCAATAAAAATCTCAATTTTGCTAAAAAATTCCCGGAACCTGATTTTCCTAGCAATCAACCCATATATGGAAATGATCGACAAAAATCGGCACATGCGCTACATACTTTTCGAAATTATACTCAGGAAGCCAAATGAGGTTTTTGTTGCTTAACAACATTTTGTTTTCACAAAAATGCGTCACATTAAACCATTAATCGGTGTAACCTTTTTAGTATCATCAAAATTATAAAGTTTAAAAAGACGTTTATGAGGGGGATACGGGGCGGCAATGAAATAGTCTGACGCTCTTGCGCGATAAAATAAAAAAACAAGAACGTTCATAAAATACTAGGCCTGGAGCCATAAATAGTTTCTTTTTAACATTTCAATAAGATATTTCATATTTGATAACTGTTCTTATCTTATCTAACGGTTTAATAAAGTAAGGCTTCATAGAAATACTGTAATTGCAATACAAATACAAACAGTCAAAAAAAAAAAAAAATAATTATTATAAATTTATTTTAGTTATTCATAATTAAGTTATTCAATAAATGAATAATTTCATGATTCGTTTATTGAATATATAGATTCATCATAATATTCCGTTGGATTTGGTATTTTATTGTTCACGCCTAAATAACATTTTCGAAAAAAAAATTATTATTTGGTATTGTAGTATAAAAAATATTAGGAATTTATCATAAAAATGATACCAATAATTAATGAAAGAGAGGCCTAACGTATGACGTGATAGGGTTCGGAATTTTAAGTATACGTAAAGTAAAGTGGTGACATTTTTTGACTTACAGATGCGTATATAAATGTGCTTGCAATAAAAAGGCACCATTTTTTCTTTCTCAAACAATAATGAAAGTTGATGTTTGATTTCAAGAATTTTTTTTTTAAGTAATTTAGATTAACCTGGATATTTGCAACTAATATATTATTATTTGCTGATTGAAAGTTAAATTAATAATTCTAACTTCTTTTATAGGCGTAAAAACCGTATAAAATTTATACTATTAGAATCTCTTTACACGGTTTTTTAATTGATATAGTCATATTTTTATTCTGAGATTTATAATACGAAGGAAATAATAATCTTATGATAATGATGTTATTATTATTATATCACAAGATCATTTACTATTTTTTATTGACCTTGTCATGACCAAATTTTTCAGAAATTTCAAGTCGAAATAAAAAAAGTCGTTTCAAGGCCATAGCATGCTCATTATTATTGTTCCATTATCTAAAAATCTTAAAAGTTTTTTGGATTCCCTGTCCAAATTTGAAGTTCAATCAAAGAAATATTTGTCATGGATTTATATCTTTTTATAATTTAATGAAACAATCTTAACGTGTTGAACTGTTTGCATAAATGAAAGGAGAAATTATTATTCTAGAAGATTCGTAGTTTCTAAATATAAGATAACAAAAGCATATTCACAAATATCGAGATGGGTAACGCGTCATTTATGAAATATATGCTATATTTATTTAAATTTTCAACCAGAATATAACGATCATTTCGCGCTTATTGGATCGCTAGTAAATTGGATAAAATCACTTAATATAAATACACACTTCATACAAGATTTATAGTAAATAAAATTAAATTAGTTTTATCGATTACATTCAAACTTCAAGAAGTAATTTACTAGTTATATTAAAAATTCAGGTAAGATATTATGTTTAAATAAAGTTGTTTGACTTTATTTTGTGTATTTACAGATTTTTTAAAAAAAAAAATTTCGCTCTTCAGCCGCCTGCATTTTAAATTTATGCAAATTAAACTTTCCTCAAACAATATACCGAGATTGTGTCTGAACAATATTATAATTTAAAATTATTTTTGTTATTACTACCTGTAAAGAATCCTTTAATAGATGAAATGCACACTCTATTCTTAAAAATGTAGCAATCAGATTGTGACATGCAAGATTGGTCACTGCACATAAATTTATATTGATAATTTATTAACCGATATATGTTAATTTTAGTATCTCTATTATGCGGTCTTTTGTTCCATTATCTCGAAGGAAGTTTAATTTTGAAAGAAAATCAAAACTTTAACCAATTATTAAGTATGAAAGGTTTCGGTAAAGTTTTTATAACAATTTTCAGAAATTATATGAACATCTCGAATTCCAATCAGATTGCGAAGTTTTGATCAAAATCAGGAGAAATGCACGGATTAATTCACAAAATTTTATACTAATATTTGTTATATTCACGTATTTATGGTATTGAAAAAGTTTTAAATTATGAATTTTAACAAATTACCGTATCACAAAAATACGTATTTTGTTTCACCTCAAAATCTAGAAATTCACAATTCGAATTTTAGAAATAAAACGTATTTACAAAACCCAGTTTCGAATCTGAAAAAAATCGAACCGATTTTAAATTTGAATGCTACCTGGCTAATTATATGATTAATTATCTGTTACGCTTAAATTTTTCGCTTGAATTAGTAAATTTTAATCCGAAAAAATAAATAAAATTTTAGTTACTACCATTTGGAATTATCGATAGATAATTGACGATATAGAATAATTCGTAAACAAGTAAACTTTGAACATGCTAGGAGCTTTTAAAGACTTGTAATTTTTATTTGGTTTTTTTAAAAATTTCAGGTTCACTGATCGAACGATTTTAATTCTTTTCCGGATCCTGTAATTATAGAATTTTTTTTTAGAAATATCACATCATTAAAATTAATCAATAATCAATGTAAGTCAAACCATATATGCAGAAGTAAAAGCATTGTAAAAAGTAAAATTTTGTTAATATAATTATATAAGTTATATTGTATCTATATAATCTTTATTTAAATAATTTTTTTTTGAATTTTAGTAGATTACAATTGAATGTAATACTGTAGCATAAATTTTGAAAGCTAAAATAAAAGTTTGAGAAATAAGTGTATTAAAAATTAAAATTTAACATATTTAATTTAAAATTTTTCAAAAATATTAATAAAAAGCATATTAATATTAATTTAAAATGCTAATTTTTCATAATTAAAAATGATAAAATATCTAAGTTTACATTTAAACTTTAAATATATTTTTATTATGTATATAACTAAAATACGAAGAACATTAAATAAAATTAAAAAAAAAAAATATAAAATACTAATAACGTTGTTCAGAAAATTTTAAATGTTCAGGTATGATATCTATTGAGGAATCAGGTAAATTCGGTAATTGAGTTTCATGACAAAGGAGTTTTGTTAAGGAATCGGGTAAATTTGGTAAGATATTTATTTGAGCTTTATTACATTCTAGCACCGTTAAGGAGTTTGGTAAAGTTGATAAACTAATTATTTGAGTTTTAGAGCATGAAATTTTCATTAATGAGTTGGGTAATGTTGGTAAGCTGGTTATTTGAATCAAATTTCAACCCGGATATCGGATTAACAGTCTGAACACTACTATTGAGCCTTTATATCATGAAAAAATTTGTTTAAAATAACAAAAATATACTTCAATAATTTTAAAATTTGTTTATTCTGTCATTTATAAAATGTTGAATGTACAGTAAGTTAATTATTAATAGCAGTATTTTTTTTGTTTTAATAAACGGATACTCATTTTATTGAATAAATTTTGTGTTTTTTGCTCATTCTGCAAGGATTCTTTCACAACACTATATTTATATTTATTTTTATTTTGTTTCTACGGAGAGGAGAAATTATATTTTAAAATAACAATCATGTCGAAACCGATGCGTTTCGAAATACCAAAATCTAAAACTCTCAGCGCTCTTCAAATTTATTTTTGAAATATAAGCAATTTCGAAAATAGAAATTACCATCCGACTTATTGTATTGCCGGCCAGAATTAAAGTTAGACTAATTAAATGACTAACTTTATTTTAAAAGTATGACTACACATAATATAATATATTTTGGTACAATAATAATTGTTTTCCATATAAGCTAATTTATCGCCGCTCTTTTTTTTTTTTAAAAAAAAAAAAAAATAGTGTTTTATCATTATTTTCACAATTCTGATTATTAACTTTGCGCTTTTATGTCTTCAGTCATGTTTTTCTTTTTAATTAAACCAGTTTAAACAATTTGGCTTTCAAGTCTTGGAATGTTAAAATGTCCCATGTTACAGGCTGATCTTCTTTGAAATATACAGTGGCGCTCAAAAGTATCACATCATCCAAATAGATTAAAATAGTAATTTGATAAAATTTTATAAAATATTTATTATCTTTATATAGTAAGTAAATTGTACGATTTTAATATAAAAATAATCGTTATAAATATATATAGAATGGATATAATCAATGCAATTTTTTCAAATATTTGAAAGTTTTTTAAAAATTCAAAAGAATATCGAAATCATTGATTGTTTTGTTTTTATATTTTTTAATTTACTTTTCGCTTAGGTAAGTATTCTTTTATCTTTTTTAATTTAATTGTAAATTTTTTTTTTTGATTTTCGGTTATTAATTTTTGATTTATTTTCAATAATTGATGATTTTCGAATATATGAATTTATTTATTTGCAAACAAATATATGGGTGGTTTGTTATTAAAATCGAGTTACGAACATAGTAAATCATATGATCCGTAACTCGATTTAATAGCAAACCTCCCATATAATCAAACGAAACCCTAATTTGAAGTGATCAATAAAAAAAGTTAGATACTTTCCATATATATTTTATGATGCCGA